AGAGAGAGAGAGAGAGAGAGAGAGAGAGAGAGAGAGAAAGAATAAGAGAATAAGAGAACCTTGTGGGAACACCGGATGCATTGGGTGCATTGTTGACATATCTACGAAAGAAAGATAGCTTTCGTAATGCGGCACGTAGCTTGGCATTTGACTACTACTGTTCAATCCCTTCAAATCATGCTTGAAAATGAGCCAACGATCGTGATACTGCAACAGCAGTTTCGACCGCAGTAGCGTCTGTTCATCAGCAACGCCACTATTCGTGTGGGGAACTCGTTGCTGGTGGTAGTGGTGTACATGTCTCACCTGGTCGCGTCGTTATCGCTTATCGGACGTGACCTCGCACGGGGGTGGCCGGCGACGTCTACGTCGACGTCAACGTGGCGTCGCGGCGCCCGCGGCCGCCGCGTAGGTGTATGACTCCGCTAGTGGAAGGAAGGTGGAAGGAACACAGAGAGCATCTCAGCGGTCAGGTCGCGGTGGTGGTGGCGGTCGCGGTGGTGGGTAGACTTCAACCTCGATCCAGCACCGCGATACTTCGCGCGTTTAGTTGGCGCGCGGGGCCCCGGTGATTGGGACGGCCAATAGAGACACTCCGTGCAAGAAAAGAGAAAGAGAGTAGGGAACAAGAGACTGGGATTGTCGGGAAGGAAGAGGAAGAAGACGAAGGGGACAACGACGAAGAAGAGCAAGAAGAAAGCGAGTGACGAGCGACGACCACACAGAGTGACGACGACCTAGACGAAGAAGACGACGACCGAATCTCAGTTTTTTTCTGAACTTTCCCGTTTTTATTACGGCCGTCTCGCGCGAGCCTGTAAATTGCGAGTCGAGTCAGCCGAGCCGAGTGTGTGCACCTCGTTGTCTGCCTCTTGGGACCCACTGGGAAGTAATCCCGGAGACAGGAATAAGCGGCTGCTCGCCGTCGTCGCGCGGAGCTGCCGAGGAGGCAGGAGAATCTCGGCTAGGGTGTCGGGATACGGCTCGCACGGACGGCGACGGGGAAAACGCTCATCCTCCGCTTCTGGATACCTGGAGACGCGACCTGTTCTTCAAGTAAGTTTCTCACGATGATACATTGGATGATGCGGATGTGGTGAGGGAGCGTGCGCGAGGACTGCCGGACGCGACGCGTATCTCAGTGCGGCTTTCTCCATACTCCCCGAGTGCCCGTTTCCTCTCCTCCTCTCCCCCATCTTTCATCTAAATGATCGCCTAAAATCGCGTGTGGATTAGTGCCGAAGTGTGCAACAAGTGACGGACCACCTCGGTTTCGCGCACGCTCACCCACGCGAGTGATTCGTTACGGTAGGTGAAGGGACAAGTGGATTAAGGAGGTACGTCACGTTCCCACGACATCGTCGATGTCTTATTCCTGTAGATCGATTATTGTCCCGTAGATAATAGAATAGACGATTATATCTTTATTACCACTTAATACCTCACTGATGTCGTTTGCGATGAAGGTTGTAAGTATAATCCTAGGACGTAGCTTCTTCGTCTTTGGGTTTTTTCAGTCTCCAAAGTAACGCCGCTTGCTTTCTCTCCTCGAGATGTTGATAATTAATTAATAACTAGTCTGATAAAGTAGCAGAGAGTATTTACACAGACACATAGTAAGATTGATCCGATTTATTCGACCATGTTTATGCCTTGGTGCACCATAAGAGTCACATACCACCTGTATCCACGTGTTCCCCTTGACACTTGGTCTCTTCATAGATAACTCTATTCTTTGAATAGACTTCCCACGATATTCTGACACTCTGGGACTATTTGATGTGGGACTTTTACTCCGGATTACATAATCAAATAGGTTTGTCCGCGGAAACACGCACGTCGGATGACGAGTGAACGTTAAGACTGAGTGGTCGGGAAGAGAAAGCGCGATGGAGTCTAGAAGCAAGTGATAGTGGTCAATGATTAACGCGCCGCGTGCATTTTTCGATACAATTAGATTTGTTTTATGAAAGTATAAGAATGTCGAGACTCATCTATTCCACAAAATCCTACTTTTACTAAAAGCTTCCACTGTAAATTGTTTACTCTTTACAGATTTCAGTCAACTTATAAATTTCTGAGCAACATTAAATATACAGATCGCAAGAGAGTGAAATAATCATCATCGCGCAATCGTACTAGTGTCACTCTGGAGTGAATAGTGATTCTTCGGAATGGATTGCGATTCCAAGTGTTGCTTCGAGTGTTAAAGGTAGCTTGATCATTCAGTCCCGTAGATAATTGTTACGTTACTTCGTTGTCGTCCAACAATCTCCATAATCGACGTCATTTCGCGACGTAAAATGAAAGTTGCAGATAAACGTAGAACGTCTTATCTCTTTTCCCTGGGTTCTTTCAGTATTCTTATCAACGTTCGCAGATATCTCAGCGCTTGATCGTTGCATTCGGTGAACTCTACTGTGAACTGTCGCGACTATTTCCCTGCAAGTCATCCGCGTTCACGGCTGTCGTTTGACGATCGAGAGTCACGGGAATCCGACTTTCGATGGAACTCCACAGAGCTCGACCGCCGAGATTCACTCTTCGTTTCCACCCAATCAGCTCCTGGTCCAGACGAGCACCTCTTGCTCGACGACGTACTTCACGTGACTAATCGCCACGAGTTCCGTCGCGACGACTATTCGTAGACTACTATCTAGGTATCTAGGCTCGGAGTCCACTTATTTTTAGGAGGGCGTAACGTGAGGAGCAGCGGTTCGTCGTTCCGACCATCTTTTTACTCATCTCGCCGTCGTGTCGCCCGTTGTTCCATCCGTCGCCGCGTCACCCTGCCGTCCAACACTTTGTCTAACGCATCATTTGCTAGCGCACATTCGCGCCGACTTCTCTTCCTCGATCTTCTGCAGCTATGCGAATTGCGTCTGCGATGCGTGCTGCATCAATTCTCGGAGACGTTAATAGACCTGATTTATCCGTTTCTTTAATGCTCGCTTAAATTGACAGCATGCGCTTGTCTCCTGTACTATTTGCACGCGACGTCTCATAACAAGTGTTCGGATTTATTGTTATCACGCTGCACATGTCGACAGACCTTTTGGACTTTATTGGCTTGTCTTCCTTGTGCCACTTTTTTCTACTTGTCACGTTCGTCACGGCACAGAAAAAATCTTTGGTTGGATTAACTGAATTTATGAAATATGAACGAACCAGAAAATTCCGGCTAAACTTGTCAGAATTCTGTTCACGTTGATCAGAAATTTTGTTAAACCGAACAAAATTCTGGTACATTTAACCGGAATCTCTGATAAGTTCATATTTCATCAGAAATCTGGTCAATCCGACCAAACTATTTTTTCTGTAGGCAAATATTCAGCGCTTTTGTATTTTGTAATACCAGCCGAATCTATATTCGGAGCACGAAATTTGCGTTAAACTGGAGCACGCTGAATTATGTAAGGACGCAACGCACTTTCCACAAATTTGAATAGACTACATATCATAAATACGAATACTAAAAATGTTCAGGACAAAGTAAGATCGATTGACATGTTGATCGCAATATTAAAATAATTAAGACATCTCCCCCTCTCCCCGTAACGCTTCTTCTAATATCTAATAATAGTATTAGTAAAATCGCGTTGCCATGTAAAATGAGAACTTTGATTATTAACTTTTTATTGAAGAGTATTACGATCGCGCAATTATCTTAGTTGTCAAAATGATCTCGATAAAATCCACGATTCCGTCTGTATCGCGATTCTGGCGACGAAGTCGAGTCGTCGTCGACGACGATTGCGCGAATAATTCCTGCCGCCGTCGTGGGCGAGCTGTACAGTTCTCCCCACCGATTACGACCAGTGAGAGAGAAGCCCAGAATGCTCGACCGATTTAAAAATATCCCGCATACCGCAAGTTCCATAAGATTCGACGAATCCGGGGAAGCTGGCCGGATGAGAGGGCGAGAAAAATATAAATCGAAATGTGCGCGCTGCGGAGGAACCCAGAAAATCCCGATCACATCGTCCTCGATCGATACCAAGTTGAGTGGAGCCGACGTATTTTTGGAGTATTTCTGCTGCGTGAGTTTCGCAGGCATGCTCAGCTGAACAGTCGCTCCGTGAGATTATTAACTCTCTATCTTCTTATGAAACGAGTCAGATTTAATTTAAACGTGAGATACAAAGACGAGTTATTAATCCTTCTGTCTTTCTATTACAAATTTCTATTACAAATTTCTACGCATTTTTTATACAAACCGTCCAGAGTAAGATTTGACAGAGTATTTGACAGTGCATTTAATTTCATCACGATTTAATGAAGCCATTCTACAGTAGAACGCGATATTGCTCCAAAATATTTTGAGTGCCCATCGATCGATTTGTTTAACCTTTGATCCCTTCGGTTCGCAACTTTTCCGATTATATTTCAAACACCTTGTAGATTTTTTTTAATTTCTCAGTCGAACAGTCGAACAGCTGATTTTGTCCTCGTTACAGAAACACTCATTCGAATATACGCACGTCTTGCACCGAAACGTACTTCATGTGAGTTGGAACATTCTTGCATAACTACGGTCAAGTGCAAAAATCTGTCAAGTGAATGCATAACGCGCCTCGCTCATTAATTTATGCAATCGTTTCTTGAAGACATACACACACACACACCCTGACGACTAAATGATAAAGCGTGTTACAGCGCGAACGTTGAGGTCGCGTTGATTTGAGGACAGCGCGAACTGACGTAAACGTCTATATCGCACGTAACGTCGATTCAGCCCGAGGGGGCAGTTCGATGTCAAATTTAAAACGATTATTCATCACTCTCTTTTAGATTCTCTCGATATACGCCGCCGATTAATATGTGTACGCTCTTACACATATATCAGTGTATTTCTAGACGCATTGTCGGCCAAATGTCGACCCAGCATTTCACCTGTTGATCATGAGATCACTCAGTCACGATCAGTATGAAGTGGTTATTATTCTTGGCACTACAATTGGCATTGTTTATTGTTATCCAATGAATCGAGTCGACAAATTTATCACTTCTCCTTGCGCGCAATTAATCCGTGTCAATGACGCTCTCGGTAAGTACTTGGTAGGTCGCTCACCATGTATTGTCGAGTCTTCAATCTTGATCCGTATCACAATGATCGTGTGAAGTACCATTTTTTCTTGTCATCGTGATGTATCATCGAACTGTTTAATTGGCCGTAATTAAGCAAAAATGATCCAACGTATATGGAGCACGCAAGAAAGATGAAAATGAAAATTTGACACGTGATTTAAAAAGTATAGATAACATTGAAATCGCCAATCGTTCAAGAAATCAAGTATGGTCGATTTTCATTTTTTTCGGGATAATCATTGACAAAATTTACTCTTAAAAAATGGATAAAAAGGACGCAACCAGTAAAAACTAATGTAACTAGTATAAAATAAAGACTGTTTTTTTAAATTAATTTTCCGGCTTGGATCGTTTTTAAGACGTATGCTACTCATTGGTAATAAAAATTTATAAATCATAATTTTGTAGGTAGGATCATTCTTACATAACTATGGCCAATTATGAGTCTCAAAGCGTTGTTGCAATCGCCTGATGTGTCGGAGTCCCACCTCTTTCCGATCAGTAACCCCATTTCATCTGCTCGACTTGTCGTTCAAGGCTAATCCGGCTAACTAATAACAGAAGCCCGGCCTAGAAAGCATCTTGTGTTCTTGACCCTCGCTTCGTTACAACATCGTAGAACAAGGTTGTCTATAGCCGAATTTGTTCCAACAACTTAATACCTGCCATTGAGTTCTGTCAGAGGGTCGCGAATATTTTTACATTCTACTCGTAAATAATTATTTCTCGAGCATGACTTATTAACATAGTACAGTGTGTCATTGACGAAAGTCGCGAGCTGTTCAGCATCGCTGCCGTGCTCGATGCGTCGCGTCCCGCGACTTATTTCATTTTTTCGCCCTGACCTAGATATTTCGTTATTTATCCAAATATTTTATTATTTGGATCTATTTATTTATTTAGTTATTATTTAGTTATTATTTGGTTATTTATTTACTTATTCGTACGCGGGTGTGCATTGGGCGTTT